CAGTGGAGCCAATTCCATTGCGAAGAGCTACATTGTTGAATGGTGAACCTGTTGTGAAGTTCACAGAAGCGGAAGTTGAAAGAATGGATGTGATAGAAGGTTTGCAGTATGCTATCGTTGGAAAATTATCTTATGGTTGGCCAGACCTTCAGCAACTATGTCGCATTATTCATTTACAGTGTGGCATCAAAGGAGAGTGCAATATTGGCTTCTTAAGGGACAGGCACGTTCTAAAAAGAATGACTTTATGGCAGGATTTCTTAAATTTTACATTGAAGAATGCTCATTACATTAAGGACAAGGATAGATATGAATACCAGTTAAGGCCTTTGATTTATGATTCGAAATTTAAAGCTGGTGAGGAAACTCCTAAAGCTATGGCGTGGATATCATTCCCAGGTCTATTACCTATGTTTTTTATGAAGGAATGTCTATTTTCCTTAACTTCAGCAGTGGGGAAACCATTGCACCTAGATATGGCTACCATCAATAAAACTAGACCTAGTTGTGCGAGGGTAAAAGTTCTAGTTGATCTTCTAGTGAATGAAGCAAATGGGGAGATTAGAACTGAATGGGTGAAGATCCAATATGGTATGCTACCTAAATATTGCAAAACATGTAAATTACAAGGTCACGATGAGTTTGAATGCTGGAGGCTGCATCCAGAGTTATATGTGGAAAAGGACAACGCTAAACAAGATGTGAGGGAAGCTGATCAATCGAATGCTAATCAACAACCATTGATAATTCTATCCAGTGGTAGAGTTGTGGGTAATGTGGCTGGAATTTCAAATGAGCAGTGGAAAGAATAGAGGGATAATAGAGTAAAGGCCAATGCTAATCAGAATGAAGTTCAGGAAACAACTGGAAAAGAAATTGTTCCAGTGCAACAAGGTGGAAATCAATAAGGTAATGGAGCAAATAATGGTAAGAATGGGGGGAAACAGAATGAGATGCATGGTATAACTGGGAATGAACTAGTACAGGTTGATCAAGCAGCAAATGATCAGGTTCAGGTTGGAAACAAATTTGCAGTGTTAGAGGTGGTAGATGAGGATGAGGAAAACAATAATCAATTAGTGGTGGTGGATGGTCAAACAAATTCTACACCTGCAGCAACGAGAAATCAAGTATCAAATCAACAAAGGCAAAAATATGCTCCTAAGACTGTTGGAAACTTAAATCCAGCAGCTCAAGTTTTTAATCCTAGTTCAGCTGGGACTGGATCAACTAATGGGGGTAAGAAGACTGCTCCAATTGAGAAAGAAAAGGAGACAGTTGCAACAAAGAAATCAATTACCCAGTGGGTTCAAAGAGATTTGAAGGATATTGAAGTTGGTATTAACACATCATGTCAGGACATACCATCACAAGATACTCTAGTGGATAGAGAGCTGGCCAAAACCACTGAAATTCAATCTTCTGGAGCTAAAACAAAGTGTTTTCCCTTAGGCGAATGAAAGAGTCCAATGGAGTGGAGGCAGGCTATGGTCTGAACAAATTGAGGAAGACTCAGATGAAGGGGAAGTTCCAGATAGAGTACCAGTTGATGATGAATAAGTTTATGATGATAAAGATTAAGAGGAGCAAAGTGTTAATGGAGATCCAATTATTACAGCTAAGAACACAACCGATGAGACCACAAACAATGCAAATATAGAGGCCAATGACCAGGCAGCAGTACTGGACAATCAGGGAGCAGCAAAAAGTGATGGGATAGGTACAATGAATTCTGATGGGATAGGGAATGATGTTGTTGATCCAAGAGGAACTAGGAGCTTGCTATACAAAAGGAGACAGATGATTTTAATCAAAAGAAGACAGCAAAAACTATGAATGAGCAACTGTCTAAACAAACTCCAGTTGCACCAAAAAATACTATTCCATTGGAATCCACACAGTTGAAGTTGCTAAGGAAAGGAGAGGATCATGCTATGGTGCCTAAATTTCAAAAACAAAGCACTATGGCTACATTAGGAGCTACCGATGCCAATGATGCAGATGATGAAATTGACATAACAAGAAAGGATATGGATCAAGAATCTATTGCCCAGAATTTCTTCAATGTAGCAAGGCAGGGTGATCTATCACCTAGGTATATTGAAAAGGTAAAATCAGCTACAAAAGGAAGGAAGAAACCACAGAAAGACAACACTAATGTGCTCACAGGTGGTGTACAAATAAGGAGGACTCTGACCAAATCAAATAATCAGTAATGGATGCTCTTATCTGCAATATAAGGTCAGTAAATACACAGCAAGCTTTTGAGAGGATGATCAAAATGCATAGGAAACATCAATATCAATTTATAGGATTAATGGAGCAAAAACAACAAGCTAGAAAATTGGAGAGATATAGAAGTAAAATAGGCTTTGCGCAGGCAATCTCAAATGTGTCAAACAAGATTTGGGCCTTCGTAGATAAGGTATTTGAGGTTTCTGTCATGTATAATATGGTACAACAATTAACTTTTAGATTATTTCATACAGAAACTCATGTGGAACTTGTTCTTACGTTGGTATATGCTAAATGTGATGCAATCGAGAGAATAGAATTATGGGATTCAACGTATGCAATGGAAAGGGACATGACTGTGCCATGGTTTGTAGGTGGAGATTTTAATGTCATTTGGGATGAAGAAGAAAAGTTGGGTGGTTTGCTATTGTCCTTGAATGAAATTGGTGATTTTCGACACTGCATCAACGCTTGCAACCTATTTGATCTTGGATTCAAAGGTAGTATTTTTACTTGGTGGAATAGGAGCGCAGAAGAGGATTGTATTTTCAAAAGGCTGGATAGATGCCTGGCAAATGTTTAATTTCGGCAAACCTTCACAGGAATAAAAGTAACACATCTGTCAAGATAGGCTCAGATCACAGCCCAATGCAATTGAAGTGTGATATAGAAGTTGCACCAGTGAAGAAATCTTTTAGGTTCCTTAACTTTTGGGTCGAGCATGAGTCATTTAAAGATGTCGTGAGAGAGAACTGGCAAGCAAATTTCTATGCAAGCACATTTTTCTTGTTCCATTACAAGCTAAAAAAGTTTAAAGAAAAAGGCATTGATAGTGTGGAGTAGAGCAACATATGGTGATATTTTTCAAAAGATTGCAAGTTTGAGGTAGTGATGGTTCATGATGCTGAATTTGAAGCTAATCCTACAAAAATGAACAGAGAAGGACTAGAAAAAGTGCAGGCGGAGTTGATAAGATTCCTAGATTTGGAGGAAAAATACTGGAGGCAGAAGTCAGGTATGGCCTGTTCAAGGAAGGTGACAGAAATACCAAATTCTTTCAAGTTCATGTCAAAGGTCGAAGGAAGAAGATGCAGCTCAAAAGTATCCAAAACAATCAAAGTATTTGGATAGAGGAAGATGAAAAGATTGTTGAGGAATCAGTTAACTTCTATGAAGAACAGTACAAAGAAACCATAGTGCCAACCTCATTTCACATCTTAAATCATGTGCCAACACTGGTTGATATGGAGTAGAACTCAACACTTGTGAAGAAACCAACAAAAGAGGAGGTTAAAAGTGCAGTGTTTGGTTTGAATGGAGATAGTGCAGGGGGGCCAGATGGATACACAGGTAGATTTTATCACTCCTATTGGATATAATAGGGGATGATTTATTTGATATAGTGAGAGCATTTTTCAATGGTCATGAACGGCCAAAATGTGTGACTCACACCAAGCCGGTCCTACTCCCAAAGAAAAAAGAGATGACAACTTTTTCTTATTTAAGGTCAATTTGTCTTAGCAACTTTTCCAACAAAGTTATCTCGAGGGTGATTCATGAGAGGCTAGTTGGGCTGCTGCCTAATATCATATCTGAAGAACAGGATGTCTTGGTGAAAGGGAGGAGAATTATTAAAAATATATTGCTCACATAGGAGATTATTACAGATATTAGACTTAAAACTAAAGCTGGTCCAAATGTAGTTATGAAGCTAGGCATGATCAAGGCATATGATAGGTTTTCTTGGATTTTTCTGACCAAGGTACTTAGGAAGATGGGCTTTTCAGAGAGATTCATTGGCATGGTGTTTGAAATTGTCTCACATAACTGGTATTCGGTGCTCATTAATGGGCAGGCTCATGGTTTTTTCAAATCATCGAGAGGAGTCAAACAAGGGGATCCTCTATCACCTACATTGTTTAATTCTAGCTGCTGAAGCACTGTCGAGGTGTATAAATTCTTTACATTTGAACCTGTATTTCTGTGGCTTTGTCTTTACCAAAGTGGAGTCCTAAAATTAACCACTTAGCCTACGCTGATGATATAATTATATTCTCCTCATCTGATGCTACATCATTGAGACTAGTCATAGAAATACTGACTGTATATGAGGCTGCATCCGGGCAGCTAGTGGACAAGAGCAAATCAATTGTTTACATGCATCACTCAACAGATATAGAGGTGGCTAATAAAGTGGAACGGGTAACCGGATCAAAATGAAGGATTTCCCAATCATGTATTTAGGGTGTCCTATTTTTTACACAAGGAGAAAACTTGATTATTATCAAGGTTTGATCACTAAGGTTTTGGACAAGCTGCAAACATGGAAAGGGAAGATTCTTTCTATAGGTGGTAGAGCAGTTTTGATTGCTCATGTAGTTTAGAATATGCCAATTCATTCACTCTCAGCAGTAAATCCTCCTAACTATTTTATAAACAAATTGAATAAAATTTTTGCACAGTTCTTCTAGTGCAATTCAGTAGGAGGCAGTAGCAGGCATTGGGCTTCATGGAACACCTTGTGTATGCCATGTGAAAAAGGTGGGATTGGCTTTAGATCTTTGCACGATGTAGCTAAATCATTGTTTTGAAGAATATGGTGGAACTAACGAACCAAGCCAAGTCTGTGTAGCTCATTTATGAGCCAGAAATATTGCAAAAAAATGAATTCTATGATTGTGCCATGGAGGAGAGGATCACATGTATGGAGGAAGATGTTAGAGTGTAGGGATCTAATTGAGCACCAAATAATGTGGCGTCCAAAGATGGGATCATCACTATTTTTGTATGATAACTGGACAGGATTAGGGGCATTGTACATCATTGTGCCTCAGGATTTTTGGATAGATGAGACCGCTCATAATGTCTATGATGTGGTCGAAGAGGATAGCTGGAATTTAGACAGACTGCCGGAGATATTACCTGAAAAGTATGCTATGCATATTGTAGAAAAAATCAAACCGCCTAATGTATATGAGGTACTTGATGTACCTTATTGGATGCTAGAAACAAGAGGTTTCTTCAGTGTTAGAACAGCATGGGAATACTTGAGGAGGAGAGATGAACCAAGGGTAGCATACAAGATGATTTGGGTGAAGGGCTTACAATTCAAAATTGCATTCTTTATGTGGAAGGTCTGGAAAGTAAAATTGCCTTTAGATGATTTTATTAGGAGGCTTGGATATTGCATGCCTTCAAGATACTGGTGTTGCACACAACCTAAAGAAGAAACTTTACAGCACTTGTTCTTCAAATCTGATACTACAAGGAGTGTATGGAGTTACTTCCTGTCGAGGGCAGGTATTGCTATGGAGGGGCTGTCTATGCATCAAGCTATAATCAAATGCTGGACTGCCAAAGTGTGTCCTAGGTTAAAACCAATTATGCAAGCAATGCCCTCGTGTATAGTTTGGGAATTATGGAAGAGGAGGAACAACATGAAATATGGAGATGCAGTGTCAACTAATCGAGTAATATATCAAGTCTCATCTACTCTTCAAGCACTTGTTAGAGTAAGGAAACCAGGAACGCATAATGTCCCTCACAAATGGCATGATCTACTATCAATGATGGAGAACTATACCCCTAGATTGAAGGTTGACAAAGTACTATTGGAATTCCCAGGTGAAGGCTGGCTTAAAGTAAACACAGATGGTGCATCTAGGGGGAATCCTGGTAGAAGTGCAGTTGGATATTGTGTGAAAGATGAAAATGGTGACATTGTGTTTGCAGCAGGGAAGGAAATACATGAAACAACAGAAACTGAAGCAGAGGCAATGGCAATTGTAGAAGCACTGAGATTTTGTAGAATGCAGCAATACTTCCAGGTGTATATTCAGACAGACTCGATGCTTATGAAGAAAATCATGGATGGAATGTGGAAGCCAATTTAGTGTATAGCTGAACAGGTGGAGGAGATCATGCAGTTGTTTGAAGGTAGAAACAATGTGGTATCTCACGTTTTTAGAGAACGGAATAAATTGGCTGACCATCTAGCCAATTATGCACTAGATGCAGGTGATATTGCATGCCAAGAATTTTGGCAACTGGATGTTCAAGGAAGGAGGATTGTGAATGAATATAAACTGCAATGTCCATACTTGAGGGTAAAGGTTGCCAAGAATTAAGGAGTGAGGAGTTAAGGATGTGTAGGATACAGGAGGTTTCGTTGGAGCAGCATGTTCAAATCCAATAGGAGGAGAATATGTTGTTCACTTTTTTCACTAACAATATTTTCTTTTTTGCAGGAAAAGTTACTGTCCCAATGTCCTATTATTTGATGGACTCTCAGTTGGTGGTATTAGTGCAATGCACACATTCCACTGGGGGGAAGTTAAAGGTAGACAAAAGCATAGAATCAAGGGAGAACACACTGCTAACCACACTGCTGCACAGTTTAGAGATATGCAGGCACCTGTTGCAATCAAATCTGGGAACAAATGGGGTGTTATGGAATGAGCTACAAATACATTGTGACACCTCCAAGGCACAGGAAGTAAGGACCATAAGAATTCACGCAGACAATTAATGGAAATCACATGCAAAGTTCATGGAAATATGCTGGTTTGGATGTCTACTACACTGGTGCATAGTGGGAAAATGTAGGCATGCGTGGGGAGATATATGTTGGTGGATTGAAATTCAGCTGCACCTTAACAAAATAGCTGAACATACAGGTAGTCAGGCAATCAGCAAGAGAGAATACTTTTGGTTAGGGGAGGACATCACATTCATATACCATGTTCAAATCTTTAGGGAGGAGAACATGGTGATGAATTTTTTCACTAACGAATTATTTTTTTTTTGCAGGAGACATTACTATGGCTATGCCTTATCTATTGACGAACCTTCAATTGCAGCACTACTCTCTAATAACCCAGAGATTAAATCATGCAAAGAAATCAGCAAAACTCACAGGGAATGCACACGAAACTGGCCTCAAAAATAGCATAGTGCAATCCTGGACGGGGCAATTGAAATGGCCATTTTTGCAGCACTTTGCGGATACTCTTGAGCTACTCTAGGTTTATATCTCATTGAAATATAATAGTAGGATAACCCAATATGGACTTCATGCTATGACCTCAACAAAATACGCAAGGAGGTCATGCAAAAATGAGTGCAACATCAAGGTACATGGACATATCTGGGCAGTGCATTATGCCAAAATCCTGAAGCATTTACATCTTTGGTACATATGCAAGTGTTACTGGGAATATGTTGTGGACTGCTGGAATGTATTGGCTCAAATAATGGCATCACAAGAGCAAGGTAGGGAACTTCACATTACCATCATATGGATAGTACTAATTTTGCAAGGTGATATGGACTATTTTGGCAAGCAGGGGAGTAGGACAAACATCGACATGGAACTGGGCAACTTTTGCAACAAGATCTGGATAGGCTATGTACGGAATCAGTGGAACTGGACAGTGCAAATAGAATGGGCCTATATGGTCGTGAAGTTCAATGGCTAGTTTTTACAACTCATTATCTTAGCTTTTTTAGTATACATTTTATGATACCAGTGGTGAGTTCATTGCTCAACACTGGTAATAGAAATTATGTAATCGTCAAATTTCATGTCTTTCATCTCTTATGACCTCCTGACAATGTGTTTGTTTGTTAAGTTTATATATATATATATATATATATATATATATATATATATATATATATATATTAGACTAGCGCTAGGCACCTTGCCTAGTGGATTCGAGTAAAAAAATATTAAAAGTGAAACAGTTTTGTATTTTTAAATGTTATAATAAAGTAAAAAGTAGAGAAAATAGGCTAAGGTCATGGTAAAATTAAAATACTATTATTATAAATATACTCATTGACCGTAAACTAAAGATGAAAATATAGAAACATGAGAAACATGATAAATAAAACTATTTCATGTTTTTAAATTGTAATTTAAACAAATTTACTAAAACTCCAAAAAAATTAAAGTTAAATTAAATAAATATTTTAAACACTAAAGATAGCTCAAAAATGTGACGTTGTCAAGAATTACGTGCTTACAGCTGCCCCTCTTTGCTTGGAAACACGAAGTTGTTTTTGAGAGAATAATCAAGTAAGCGACATAAATTTATTTCTGACCGACACTTATTCAAAACAAAACAAAGATGGACAAAAGATTGTGACCGAGCCCTGGTATCCGAGCTGCCTACATATTCTTCGCTATAAAGGAATCAGGACACGTGTAGTTCATAGGTGAATGAAGTGATGGAGTATGATGAGATGAGGAGAGAGGCGAGAGAGGTCTCGTCGAGGCTCCGGTCCATGGTTCATGCTATTACATCGAAAATAAAAATAAAAATTACATCAAAATAAATGAAAAATACAAGATCCTATATATTTCTTGTCGTGAATCTTCCTCGAATATCTACTTGAATCTTCAACATGAGACTGAAAATGAACCCTATTCTTCAAGTGGGTATCCTGTTGACTTGAACTTGAAGAAAACTGAAAGTTAACCCTGTTCTTCAAGCGGGCTCCTACTGCTTCGACTTGAAACAAATATGAACTTGGAACTTGAAATGACCCTATTCTTTAGGCGGGCTCATGGTGCCTCGGACTTGAACTTGAAAATTGAATGTCGACCTTGTTCTTAGCGGGCTCCTGGTGCTTCTCTAATTTGAACTTAAATCCGATTTCTGAAAAATTATCCCTCGTTCACCAGGTGGGTGCCTGCAATCAAAAAGAACAAAACAAACAAAATTTTCTACCCAGTTTGCACTAGGCAGATTTATGAGTTGTTAGCAAAACTGTAAATCATCTATGCTATTGATGAAGGATGCAATGATGAGAATAAACAGACTCTACTAGGATGGGCGTCTCATGTGATTAAAACTGACAAACTTATCGTTTCCTAAGAGCAAAACTAACAAACTTTGACTGGAAAGTGCGTCTCCTAAAAAATGTATAACAAGAATGACACAAACTTGGAAGTGTGTCTCCTAGGGATGAAACTTGAAAAACCAAACTAGGAAGTGCGTGTCCTAGATGAACTTAAACGAAAAAAACTACAAAGTGCGTCTCCTGGGGGTGGAATCTCAATTTAGGAAGTGCATCTCCTAAAAAGTATAACCTGAAAGACCCAGACTAGGAAGTGCGTCTCCTAGGGGTAAAATCTCAATTTAGGAAGTTCGTCTCCTAAAAAATATAACTTGAAAGACCCAGACTAGGAAGTGCGTCTCCTAGGGGTAAAATCTCAGTGACTCAAACTAGGAAGTGCATCTCCTGGGGATGTACTTAAATGACCCAAACTAGGAAGTGCATCTCCTAGGGATGAAATCTCAATTTAGGAAGTGCGTCTCCTAAAAGGTATAACAAGAAAGACTTAGACTAGGAAGTGTGTCTCCTAGATGTGAGAATGAGCTTGAGGAAAACTATAAACTAAGCTCGACTAAAGTAAAAACTAACCTTATTCTCCAGGCGAGACCCCTCAAGGAAAACTAATGATTACTAACTTAACGAAATTAAAAACTGACCATATTCTCCAGGTGGGACCCCTGAACTTTAAGAAAAATTAAGGAATAACAACTTAAGGAAACTAATAATTGACCTTATTATCCACTAACAACTTAAGAAAACAAAAATGGACCCTATTCTCCGGGTGGGACTCCTCAACTTAAGGAAAGCCAAAGATTCCTCTCAACTAGATTCTTCTCAACTAGGGAAAATGCCTAGGGAGGTATGATCTTCTCAATAGCCTTTGCGTTAGCAGAACTGGGGAATTACATCTGAAAAATTCAAGCTTCCAATCTTTGATATGAACATAGCCCTCATCCCTATCAGACAAAGAAAACTTGTGAGTTAAAACATGGTGGTCAGTTTGTGGCCTTGACTTCGTGGGCGATTCTCCTGCACTTGTCATGATCACATTGATTTCAACTTGGAAGACAGTGCTTGTTATCAGCCAACCACTTTTCCGGGCAACCCTTATCACAAGAAAATTCTTGATTCGTTCAAGTCCAATACCTTATATCTGATGCATTGCACTCGTATTCTAACATTCACCGAGTCTCTGCATTTTACATGAATCCCAAAGAAAATCTATTGTCATCAACTTAGTGCACACACTATTCTCCCATGTCTTATGCCACTTTGATGTGCTTGCCAGACTCTGCTTTGTGTAACTAAAAAGCTGGTAGCAGATTTTGAAGTCATTTCTCACTTGTTTCGACAAAAATAGACTCAAAAGTGACTCAAACAAATCTAGAGGAACAAAGTAAGGAGAAGAACGACAAGAGATGTACTTATTAAGAAAATTTTCATCCATGAAAAAGAACTAGTAGAAACTAATCTAATTTGAAAGTCAACTCCACTGATCATGACATGCATTTTTAATTAAGCGACCTGATCTGTCAAGCAAGTCAGATCTTTAACTCTTGTCATACCTCTAAGGTGTGAAAATGGGCTTCAGTGCGCCAATTGTCCTATCTGATTCACGATCCTCAGTCGACTTGTAGTGCCCTGAAGGGTTTTCACCATCAAGCCTCTCTCATTTTGTTCTTTTCTCAACTCACCGTTGCCTTATGGTGCCCATGAGGGTCTTCAGCAATAAGACTTTTTCATTTTTATCGTTTTGCCTCTTTGTGCCGAGAACAAGGTATACCCATGACGCAAGAAGATCATACCTTTACCACACACTAGACTTGACATCCTCAAAGATTGGTCGGAAGGTATTTCTTTGGACCGTAATGTAGGCTTTTGGATAGGGTTCAAAAGAAAGGGTGTTATAAAGGCTCAAAACAACTAAAATGAATGGGGTTTTAACTTACAACTTTTGGAATCAGATATATTTGCAAAACTAAAACTTCTGCCCCAGCTTCATTTAGTCTAGGGAATTTTAGATTTTTATTTTGTTGGGACCGAATCTCAAAGTAAGGCTGCCTACGTATCCTTCAAACGAATCAGGTCGAACGTAGTTCCGACAAATATTTTTATGGTTGTTTTTTTTCTTCTTTTTCCTTTTTTTATCTCCTTTTTTTCGTTTTTTCTTTTTTTACTTTTTTCTTCTCTTTTTTTTACTCTACGTTATCTTTCTTTTTCTTTTCTAACTCTATTTCTAATTCCAAAAGAGGGGTATGAAAGAAAATGAACTAAGGCTCAAAAGGGGTAGCAAAGGATAAAAATATTTGGGGTAACAGAATAAAATACCTTTGTCATACCAAACCTTGAGAAATCCAAGTACAAATCATGCAATTGAAAATAAGCGGAAGAATCATGCACAATATCTCTTATGGCATCAACACAAATACGAAGTGCCAATGGGTAATACCTTTGTCCCAATGAATAATCCTTGCTAGTCCGGAAATGACTTGACTCAACCTTACCTTGACGTGAAAGGATGTATTTCAACACCGACTGGTCTACCTCAAATTGCTTGAGAAGCATCCCCTTGTTGCATGCTCTTATCAACCTCTTGGTTTCCCAGACCAACTGCC